GTGGGAGATATTGGCTTACTAAGCTCAGTGCAATGTGACCTCTTTGTTTCTTGATGCACAAAGATATGCAAAAAGCCTGGGGGAAAAAGAAGTGATCAGCACACCCATTTATTATTTTTTTCTTGCTATTACCTAGATTCTCCAATGTCTTCTGGTCCGTATTCCTTTCCTATGGGAAATTTCCCTGTGTTTCAAAAGTCATTGTGATCTGTTAAAACATGCCAGGTAGATGAGAAAAATATGAAAATATGGAGAGCTCAGGGATTGAGGGTGTGCTAGCAGAGTGTAGAAATAAGACCAAAGGAAAGCACCACTTCTTTCTATTTTCCTTTCATTGTTGGAATGCCAAGTGTGATGTTTTCATTCATCAGTAGATGGCACTGACACATGGCTTTTCAGATGAGGTGGCTGTGAGAAGCAAACAGCCCGATTTGAACAGAATGTTTCTTGTGTTGTTGTTGCTGTTGTGTGCCTTCAAGTCATTTCTAATTTATGTAGGGTGACCAGATGTCCTCCTTTTCTAGAATGTGTCCTACATTTCAACCTTCAGTCCAAGAAAAATTTCAAAATGTCCTTGATTTTGAATATGATGAAGAAGCATGGATTTATATAAGTGTTTTATCCTTTGTTTTGTAATGTCCTACAGTTTTCTTTTGGAGTGTCTTGTCCTCCTCTGCGGTCATGATATCTGGTCACCGTGGACCAGATCTCTATCATGGGGTTTTCTTGGCAAGATTTGTTCAGAGGAAGTTTGCCATTGCCTTCCCCTGAGGCTGAGAGAGTGTGACTGTCCAAGGTGACCCAGTGGGTTTCATGCCCAAGCTGGGAATCAAAACGTGGTCTCCAGAGTTATAGTCCAACAGTCAAATCACTATGCCATGCTTGTTTACACCAACCCACAGCAACTGTATCATCCAGTTTTCTTGACCAGATTTTTTCAGAGGGAGGTTTTCCTTTGCCTTCCCCTTAGGCTGAGAGAATGTGACTTGTGCAAGCTTACCTAATGGTTTTCCATGGCTGAGTGGAGAGTCAAACTCTGGTCTTCCAGAGTAGTAGTTCAACACTCAACCACTACATCACAGAATAGGGGATCATTTGTTGCTGTTGTTGTGTACCTTCAATTTGTTTCTGACTTATAGTTAATCATGACATGAAACTATCATAGAGTTTTCTTAGCAAGATTTGTTCAGAGGGGGATTGCCTTTGCCTTACCCTGAGGCTTGTGTGGGGGTGTTGTGTGCCTTCAAGTTGTTTCCACCTTATGGCGACCCCAAGGAGAACCTATCATGAGATTTCTTTGGCAAGCTTTGTTCAGAGGTTTGCCATTGTCTCCCCCTGAGGCTGAGAGTATGTGACTTGCTCAAGGTCACCCTGTGGGTTTCATGGCCAAGCTGGAAATGGAACCCTGGTCTCCAGAGTCATAGTTGAACACTGAAACCACTACACCACACTCGCTCTCCCCTCTGAGGCTTACATCATAAATATTATGAGGGTTGGTTTCCAACAGGAGGGAGTTATGTTACTGCTAAGACTAGCAGTGAGGCCTTCCAGATGTTAGACATCAAATCCCAGCATCCCTAGACAGCATACTTAATACTGAGGAATGCTGGGAGGCGCAGTGCTACAACATCTGTATGGACCTTATCACACGCTGGCCACGAAGCAAAAAGTAACCGAA